ACGCCTCCGCGTCCAGCGGGATGCCGCCTCCTCCGCTGGGGACGCCCGACTTCGATGGTGGCCGCGGCGTGGTCAGGAGGCCGTACAATTGCGACTTCTGCGACGCAAGCTTCCCCGTCTCCTCGTTCTTGGTGCCGTGTGACGACCAGGGCAACGTGCCCCAAGGTTCGGCCCGCGTCGCCAGGGGCATGCAGACCATCGCGGACATGTGTGGCGAGAAGCAGGAGTTCAAGAATACCATCGACATCGACGAGGACAAGCCCGATTTGCGCCACATGTGCTTCTCGTGCTTCGGCGAGCGCACCGAGGGCGACTCCGAGTACTATGTCAAGGAGAGGGACGGCGACAAGGTGCGCTTGCATGCTTCGTTTGGGAACGTGCGGAAGAGGTACTTCGGGCGCGACTCGAGGTCCGAGGCCGACGTGTTGCAGCACTTGGCGGCGAAGGCGTTCGACCGAATGCCGTCCGACGTGACCTGGGACGAGGTCTACCACAAGGTGTGCGTCCAGAGCGAGGTGGCCGCTGCTGGGGATTTCCACGTCGTGCTGGGCGGCGGCGTGCTGCTCATGTACAGCTGCCCCAAATGCTTCTTCCTCCCGGTGAACCCGAAATTCTGGCTCCGGTGCGTGAAGTCCCAGCATCGGCACGAGCCGGGTAAAGACGCCGAGGGAGGACACTGGCGCTGCCCGTTCGAGGGTTGCCTGGAGAAGTGGACGTGGGGAGCTGCCGGGAAGTTGCGGGTCATCCTCATCCCGGAGGTCGAGGGGGGCGGCCTGCAGAAGATGGTCATTGGAGCGACGTCCGAGAGCCAGGAGCACACCATTACCTTGCTCAAGTCCGCGAAGCTGCTGGAGACAGTGAAGCGCGCGGACGGCTCCATCCAGCAGATCGGCACGGCTGCGCTGGTGGCCGCAATCAAGAAGCTCAACGAGGAGGCGCAGGGACAGGTGCTGGCCTCCGGGCTCCAGGTGCACAACAAGAGAACGGCGGGGCAGGTGGAGATCAAGAATAAGGGCCTGTTCCCGTATTGCTCCGACCCCGCCCTCATGCTGGGCCACCCGGGCGCGACGTGCAGGGCGTTGCATCTCCCCCCGGACACGCCGGCCATCTCGCCGGGCTTCCTGCAGGAGGTCCTCGACGTGCTCGTGTGCTTTTACGACTTGTCTCAGTGCAAGGTGGGCGGCGGCCGCGCAATCCGGGAGGCGTACCGGGCTGCCGTCGCCACGCAGAACGCCAAACGCGGCGTCTACTTCCCGGGGTGAGCTTTTCTCACTGCTCCTCTCCCCTTCCTCCCCGGGCAGTGCACCCTCAGGGTCAGCCCCCGTCTCGCTTTCTCCCTGCTCGGCATTGCACCCTCAGGGTCAGCCGGTCTCCCTGTTCGCCTTGCCTCCTCTTCCGTTTTCGCTGCGCAGATCAGGTCAGCTGGCTCGACAGCGCGGCGCAGGCTTGGGCATTGCACCCTCAGGGTCAGCCCTCGCCCCCGCGTCTTTCGCCCGGCTCTGCCGCTCCTGCTTTTGCCGCGCAGATCTGGGAAGCTGGCCCGACAGCGCGGCGGGAAATGCAATCTTCCCCCCTTGATCTCTCGAACCCCGTCTTCGTCGTCGCCCGCGCGAAGGATCGCAGATAATCCACCCCATTCGAGGGTGCCAGGCGGGGATAAGGAGGGCTGTCTCACGGTGCCCTCCTCCGAGAGGAAGAGGAGGAAGAGGAGTGGGAGGAGGAAGAGGAGGAGGAGGAAGAGGAGGAGAAGGAGAACGATGATGATGATGATGATGAGAATGATGATGATGATGATGATGATGATGATGATGATGAGAATGATGATGAGGAGGATGAGGAGGAGGAGGAGGAGGAGGAGGCGGAGAAGAGGAGGAGGAGGAGAGAACAATGAGAACGAGGAGGAAGCCGGGGGGCCCGCAGCAGCCCAAGAAAACCATCAAGAGGACGCCGAGTTTTCAAGAGCGGCTGGCATTAATCTCAAGGCATTCCTCTCTTAATGGTGTTTTGAACATGTCGTAGCAATTTTGGCTCTTGGCTCAAATATCTTGGTCAGCCCTCGTCCTCGGTCTTTTCCTGCCCCGGCATTGCACCCTCAGGGTCAGCCGGCTTCACCGTTCGCCTCTCCTTCTCTCCGCCGGGCAGTGCACCCTCAGGGTCAGCCCATGTCCACCCTCTCTTAATGGTGTTTTGAACATGTCGTAGCCATTTTGGCTCTTGGCTCAAATATCTTTGTGCATTTGCGACGAACTGTTGTTGGAGAGGCCTTGCGGCCGGTGCCGCCGACCCTGAACGACGACGACGACGAGCGCTCTCGAGAGCCTCTCGGGGGTAGTTCGGCGGCCTCTTGGGAGGCTCTTGGGGTTTCTTGGGAGCCTCGTTGGGGCTTCCTGGTCGCCCTTCTGGCGGAGAGCTGGATATGTTCGTTCGGGTCCTCCGTATGGGCTCCCGCTTGGTGCCGTCCTCGGGGCCTCCTGGGCCGTCTTGGGGGCCTCTTGGGTCGTCGTCGGGCCGTCTTGGGTCGTCTTGGGGCGATCTTGGGGGTTCCTTGGGCTGTCTTGGAGCGCCAGAAATTGTCCAAGGAGGGCGCTGTGCAGGCGCTTGCGGCAGATCCGAGCTTGCCTCTTTGCTCCGCGCCCCGCCGTGCTCCCGTTCGCCTTTCCTTCTCTCCGCTGGGCAGTGCACCCCCAGGGTCAGCCCCCGCCCCCGCACGTTTCCTTCCCCGGCATTACACACCTTCAGGGTCATCCGGTCTCACCGTTATCCTTTCCTGCTCGCCGCCGGGCATTGCACCCTCCGGGTCAGCCCTCGTTCTCGGTCTTTTCTTGCCCCAGCATTGCACCCTCAGGGTCAGCCGGCTCCCCCGTTCGCCTCTCCTCCTCTCCGCCGGGCAGTGCACCCTCAGGGTCAGAGGAGGAGAGAACAATGAGAACGAGGAGGAAGCCGGGGGGCCCGCAGCAGCCCAAGAAAACCATCAAGAGGACGCCGAGTTTTCAAGAGCGGCTGGCATTAATCTCAAGGATTCCTTGCGTTTCATGCGACATAACGAGATGCGCGAAAACTCTGAAAAAGTAGTTTTTTCCTGATAATCTACTTTTTCGTGTCGGAGGGCTTTTGCTCTGGATATGGATTTCCCTATGTATTTTGCACGATTGTGGCTGTACGCATTGAAAACTGGAGCGGCCGGTTCTTTGGTTGGCTCCAGCATCGGGGATAGACATACACGGCGACAGCTCCTTCGGAATGCCGCCCCAAGGCGGCCCCCAAGAGGTTCTTCCACGGTGCTGGGGCGTATTGCAATCGTCGCTTCGTTTAATATTGTATTGGACATGTCGTAGCCATTTTGGTTCTTGGTTTAAATATCTTTGTGCATTTGCGACGAACTGTTGTTGGAGAGGCCTTGCGGCCGGTGCCGCCGACCCTGAACGACGACGACGACGAGCGCTCTCGGGAGCCTTTCGGGGGTAGTTCGGCGGCCTCTTGGGAGGCTCTTGGGGTCTCTTGGGAGCCTCGTTGGGGTTTCCTGGGCGCCCTTCTGGCGGAGGGCTGGATATGTTCGTTCGGGTCCCCCGTATGGGCTCCCTCATGGAGCCATCCTCGGGGCCTCGTGGGCCGTCTTGGGGGCCTCTTGGGTCGTCGTGGGGCCGTCTTGGGTCGTCTCCTCCTCTCCGGGCCGGGCATTGCACCCTCGGGGTCAGCCCCTGTCCTCGCTGTCTTCCTGCGCCGGCATTGCCTACCCCGGGTCAGCCGTACTCTCGTTCGCCTCTCCTTCTCTCCGCTGGGCAGTGCACCCCCAGGGTCAGCCCCCGCCCCCGCGCGTTTCCTTCCCTGGCATTGCACCCTCAGGGTCAGCCGGTCTCACCGTTATCCTTTCCTGCTCGCCGCCGGGCATTGCACGCTCCGGGTCAGCCCTCGTCCTCGGTCTTTTCCTGCCCCGGCATTGCACCCTCAGGGTCAGCCGGCCCCACCGTTCGCCTCTCCTTCTCTCCGCCGGGCAGTGCACCCTCAGGGTCAGCCCATGTCCACCCTCTCTTCATGGTGTTTTGAACATGTCGTAGCCATTTTGGCTCTTGGCTCAAATATCTTGGTCAGCCCTCGTCCTCGGTCTTTTCCTGCCCCGGCATTGCACCCTCAGGGTCAGCCGGCTTCACCGTTCGCCTCTCCTTCTCTCCGCCGGGCAGTGCACCCTCAGGGTCAGCCCATGTCCACCCTCTCTTAATGGTGTTTTGAACATGTCGTAGCCATTTTGGCTCTTGGCTCAAATATCTTTGTGCATTTGCGACGAACTGTTGTTGGAGAGGCCTTGCGGCCGGTGCCGCCGACCCTGAACGACGACGACGACGAGCGCTCTCGAGAGCCTCTCGGGGGTAGTTCGGCGGCCTCTTGGGAGGCTCTTGGGGTTTCTTGGGAGCCTCGTTGGGGCTTCCTGGTCGCCCTTCTGGCGGAGAGCTGGATATGTTCGTTCGGGTCCTCCGTATGGGCTCCCGCTTGGTGCCGTCCTCGGGGCCTCCTGGGCCGTCTTGGGGGCCTCTTGGGTCGTCGTCGGGCCGTCTTGGGTCGTCTTGGGGCGATCTTGGGGGTTCCTTGGGCTGTCTTGGAGCGCCAGAAATTGTCCAAGGAGGTCGCTGTGCAGGCGCTTGCGGCAGATCCGAGCTTGCCTCTTTGCTCCGCGCCCCGCCGTGCTCCCGTTCGCCTTTCCTTCTCTCCGCTGGGCAGTGCACCCCCAGGGTCAGCCCCCGCCCCCGCACGTTTCCTTCCCCGGCATTACACACCTTCAGGGTCATCCGGTCTCACCGTTATCCTTTCCTGCTCGCCGCCGGGCATTGCACCCTCCGGGTCAGCCCTCGTTCTCGGTCTTTTCTTGCCCCAGCATTGCACCCTCAGGGTCAGCCGGCTCCCCCGTTCGCCTCTCCTCCTCTCCGCCGGGCAGTGCACCCTCAGGGTCAGCCCATGTCCACCCTCTCTTAATATTGTATTGAACATGTCGTAGCCATTTTGGCGCAATGCTGGCGCGGAAGCGCCCTGCGGCGTCCGACTTCGCCGCTTCCCGCTACGCTGCTGATGTTTGGGGCCTCGCGGGAGGCAGGGGCAAGCGCGGCCGCAGGAAGAGGACGGCCGCCGCGGACGAAGGGCAGCAGGTGGAATGTAGAGATTACTCCAACTGCAACAAGCGCAACGAGGACGCGTGTAAGGACCTGCTGATTTCTCTGGCCACGGATGACTTGCGAGGGCGCCTGACGCGCAGCCGCTACGACCTGGGGGGTTCCCGGCGCCCGGAACGGCTGAGACAGATCGAGGCGGGGAAAGCGCTCGATGACAACTGGTTGGAGGAGGCGGCGAGTGTCTTCAACGTCCCTACCCGCAAGAGGAAGCAAATGCAGGTCGTGGAAGACGTCCTGGAGGCCGTGCGACAGACCCGACAGCGGGCCCCGGGCACGGCGACCGCCATGGACGCCGATCGCAGGGAGGCGACGCAGAGGGATATCCAGAGGCCGCAAGGTGTCGACGCGCTGAGGGATGAGCTGCTAGTCAGATCTAGTTCGGAGGATCTGCGCCTGCGCGTGGTGGGCGAGTGCCTCCAGCGGCGCGGAGGCTGGCCCGCCGAGGCAGCAGACCTCGGCGGCGACGCCCCGGGGCCGTCTGGCGATTACACCCCCAGGGTCAGCCGGGCGGCTTCGCCGGGCGCCATGCTGGCGCGGAAGCGCCCTGCGGCGTCCGACTTCGCCGCTTCCCGCTACGCTGCTGATTTTTGGGGCCTCGCGGGAGGCAGGGGCAAGCGCGGCCGCACGAAGAGGACGGCCGCCGCGGACGAAGGGCCGCAGGTGGAATGTAGAGACTACTTCTACTGCAACCAGCGCAACGAGGACGCGTGTAAGGACCTGCTGATTTCTCTGGCCACGGATGACTTGCGATGGCGCCTGACGCGCAGCCGCTACGACCTGGAGAGTGCCCGGCGCTCGGAACGGCTGAGACAGATCGAGGCGGGGATAGCGCTCGATGACGACTGGTTGGGGGAGGCGGCGAGTGTCTTCAACGTCCCTACCCGCAAGAGGAAGCAAATGCAGGTCGTGGAAGACGTCCTGGAGGCCGTGCGACAGACCCGACAGCGGGCCCCGGGCACGGCGACTGCCATGGACGCCGATCGCAGGGAGGCGATTCGCAGGCGCACGTGGAGCTCCATGGCCGCGTTGCACGAGGCGAAGGTCTGGGGTATGCGCGCGACGCAGAGGGATATCCAGAGGCAGCAAGGTGTCGACGCGCTGCGGGATGAGCTGCTAGTCAGATCTTGTCCGGAGGATCTGCGCCTGCGCGTGGTGGGCGAGTGCCTCCAGCGGCGCGGAGGCTTGCCCGCCGAGGCAGCAGACCTCGGCGGCGACGACCTCTGGGCGCGCCGCTATTTGCACAGCGCGATGGCCCGAAGGTACGCCAGCGCCTCCACTGGCGAGCAGCTCTTGCCGGGCGACGTGGCGCGGTGGCAGCAGCTGCTCGACAGGATCCCGGAGGCGCAGCGGCCCACCTGGCAGGCGGACCCTCTGCGCCAGCAGTTGCAGGCCCACTACGAGGAGCATGGCCACCTGAACGTGAGGCCCTCGACCAGGAGGGCCGACGATCCCGATCGCCTTCTACTCGAAGCTTTGAAGGTCCTGCGCCGCGCACGGCTGGAGGATGTCAGGGGCGAGCGCGGCCATCTGCTGCGCCGGCAGCTCTCGCCCGGGGACATGGCCGCGTGGGAGACGGCGGTCCCGGCCAACGTGTTGTGGGGCACGGTGCGCCAGGCCGAGGCGTATATCCCTGGCAGCGCTATTCTCGGCAGCCGGTGCGAATGGCCCAGAGAGCCCGTCTGCTGCCAGCCGTGCCCGTGCTATCTTTGCGGCCAGGACTTCGCCACGAAGCAGTTGTTGCAGGAGCACTGGCGCGAGGAGCACGTGAACCTGCCCGAGGCCGAGCGGGGCTTGCTGGCGCCGCGGCGAGTGGAGGAAGAGGTCCGAAAGAGAATCCTTGCGGACGAACAGCTGGAGGGCCCCTTCGAGGTCCGGGGCGCCGAGCAGCGCCGCGCGCTCGGACGCTTCGCCGAGAACCAGACGCAGAGCCGACCGGGGGGTGCGTGGGCCGGGCACTTCGAGAGCCAGCAGACCGCCCCGACCACCTGCCGCGCTCTGAGCGGCTGCGTTGTCTGCGCGCGCTCTTTCTGGCTGGAGGAACTCTTCGACGCGGACTTGTTCGTGGAGCCCGTGGACCCCGAGCTGGCAGCGGGCGCCGGCGATCCCGCGGCGGACGGCGCCCAGGGGCACGGCGCGGAAGGCGCGCCGGCGGACGCGCCTGCGCGTCAGCCCCGGGGGCACCCGGAGCCGCCGCCCGCCGAGGACGCGGCCCCGCCGCGCCGGCCTCGCTTCGCGGTGCGGCCCGAGGCCGCCGCGAAAGTCCACGCGCTCCTCTCCGTGGAGCGCTATGCCGCGAGGTGGCCGCTGATCCCGCGGCACGAGCTGTGGGCCTCCAGCGTGCCGCACCCGCGCAGGCCCGAGTGGCGGTGGCTGCTGCACGTTCGCAGGTTGCCCTGCCTTAGCCTCGACGAGCACGGGCGGGCCCCGCTGGTGAAAGTGTGTTTTGATTGCGGCAAGACCTTGGAGGGCGCGCCGGCAGTGAAAATGCCAATGTACGCTCTGGCGAACGACAACTGGATCGGCCGAGTCCCTTTTCCTCTCCGGCCTGGCGGCGAGCCGTTGCGGGACATGGAGCTGCGATCGCTAGCCAGGGGCCGCGTGTGCGTGAACAAGATCATCGCCGAGCCCGAGAAGAGAGGCCCTCGAGACGAACGGCAGGGGGGGCTCGTTGGGAACTTTATCTGTTTCCCGCAGGCGAAGGTTTGGGGCGGTCTCCAGCTGCGCTCCTGGGGGCGCGCGCCAGCAGTCAGATGTTGGATTCCAGGGGAGGGCGATTTCTGCCGTTGCTGGCGCGCGTGGCCCAGGCGGCGCGCCTGGAGACGTCTCGCAAGGTGGATCTCCTGCGCAGCGCCGAGCTGCCCGCCCCCCCTGCCGAGGCGCAGCGATTCCTCGCTGAGTCCGTCGTCATTGCCCTGGCAGGGGCCGACGTGGACGACCTCAGCAAGGCCCGGTGGGCCAACGTGCGCAAGGGCGAATACATGGGGGCCGCCAGCTTCCTGACCTCCCATTCGGTCTCGTACAACGACATGACCTGCAACCAGGACAGGGCAGACGCCGTCATGAGCGACGCCGGCGCCGTCCCCGAGGCCGTGCGAAGCATCGCAATCCCCATTGAGGTCTCCGAGCAGCTGAAGCACCGGCTGGAGGGCCCCGCCGACGCCTGCGCCGGGGCCGACGAGCAAGTCGTCAGGGTGGACGGGGAGGAGTGCGTGTCCGAGCACGAGGCAGAGGAAGAGGAGGGGGAGAACGATCTCAACGCCGCGCTGCCCGACCCGGACTTCCCCGCCGAGGCGCTCCCGGCGATGTCTTTCTGCGCCGATGCCGCGACCGGCGGCGACCTCGACGAGCTCCAGGCGATCCGCAAGGTGCACGGTGAGCTCGAGGCTCTGCAGGATTCCATGCGCGAGGAGGCCTCCGGCATAGGCTACCCGCGCCGGCGCCTCATCAAGCAGCTTCAGGTCAGCGCCAGAGGCATGCTGGATCGCGGCTTGGCGGACAGGATCCACCACCACCACAAGACGGTGACGGCCCTGGAGGAGACGGGCCAACGGGCGGCGGCTCCCGGAGGCGCGATGGAAGGGTATGCCCAGGGCACTGCCGCACAGCCGCTCTCGATGTACAGCCCCGAGCTCTGGTCCATGTGCTTCCCCGACAAGTTCCCGTACGGCGACGGCGTGTTCGGCTTGTCCAGGACTGCGCCCATGTCGTTCCATCAGTGCACGTCAATGCACTTGGTCCGCGAGGAGCTGGTGTACCAGGTCACGCCCGAAGATTTGGCCGCGGCCGCCGCTTGCAAGGCGTGGGTCGAGACCGCCGCGGACGGGCCCGGCGCGACCGGGCAGTCTCGCCCCTCCGGCGGCTCCTGCGCCTGCCAGCAGTGCAGAGAGGCGTGCCGGCGCTACGTCGCGCCCGAGCAGCCGCGCTGGGGGGCCGACCGCGATCTCATCTGCTGCTACTACGACGCCGGGCGCCGCATCGAGCAGATCCGCAGGGCCAGGGGCCACGTGCACAGAACGGGCTTCCAGGAGCGCCTGGAGAAGATCTGCGCGGCCTCCACGGAGAAGCTCGATGCCGCCGTGCAGAGCCTAGGGCCGAATGCGTCCCTGAAGGACGCGATGCGGTCCCCCGCCGTGGACCAGGACGTCAAAGACGCGCTCTCCGAGCTCATGGTGTTCACCTCAGAAGTTCTCGGCTCGGACGGCGCGCGCGCGAAATTGCGCCACGAGCAGAACGGCTTCGCCCTCATGTTCGGCGGCGCCGGTGGCTTTCTGACTCCGAACGTCGCGGACGTGCGGAGCCCCATCTTGCTTGCCCTGCACGCGGCGGGGGGCTGCGAGACCCGCGCCGTGGACCTCCTCGCGGAAGCCCCGGACATGCCCTCCGCGCGGAAGATGCTCCAGATCGTGGCGCAGGACCCGGTGGCCCAGGCCCGCTTCTTCATCTTTAGCATGAAGCTTTTCTGCGAGCACGTGCTGGGCACCGGCCCCTGGGACTTCCACCTGCGCCACAACGGCCGTTGCGACGGGGCGGCTTTCCCCGATGGCTTCGCCACTTCGTGCACGGGCGGAGCCTTCCTCATGTTGGCGGCGCTGCACGGGCCCATCGAGGAGCAGGCCCGGCTGTCCATCCACCCGCACATCCTCCTGTGGTTCGTGCACGCGCAGTCCGAGCAGTGGCTCCGGTGCGTGCTCAACAGGGAGACCGAGGAGATCCGGCAGCGGCTCCGCGTGTGGCAGGAAAAGACCTTGGCCGCAGTGCAGTCCATGCAGCTGGACTCAGCGGCCGTGCTCCCGCTGCTCCTCACCGACGACCCCGACCGGGCGCCCGAGCCCAGGAACACGCCCTTCTCCGAGAAGCTGCAGCGGGATTGCCGCATGGATGGGGAGCTGGAGCACGACGTGGAAGAGCCGGAGAAACGGCGCGTCTTCTTGGCCACAGAGCCCCCATTCGAGGACCACCACCTCCGACGGCATCGGATGTCCTTGGCGCCCGAGGCGCGACCCATGAGCGAATACATGGTGCCCCAGACGGGCGCCCAGCTCTGTCGCCTCGAGCACTACAGGCTGCTGCGCCCGACCACGGGCGACGACCTGGAGACCGCGGCGGGCCGGAGCGCGGAGGCGGCGGCCTGGGCCGCGCGCTACGCCGAGGATTACCGCCAGGACATCGCCGTGGGCCAGATGCACCAGCACAAGGACACGTGCTTCAAGTACGTTGTCGAGAAGTCCATGCGCTTCGCGCGGCACTGCCGCTTCAACTTCTGCCACTTCGTCAAGCTCTGGCTCCGCGTCGGCGACGGCGGGGACTCCTCGGCGCAGCAGAAGCGCCCCAAGAAGCTGGTGACCTTGGCGCGGACCGGCAAAGACCTCGTGCTGCCGCGGGGGCCAGGGGAACCGGAGCCGGATATGTTCCCCCTGGACGAGGACGGCGCGCCCGTGCCCCTGCGCCCCGGGCGCAAACTCGGCCCGGTCGTCAACGTCGATCCCGACCATGGGAAGCAGGGTCTGGTCATGCCCATTCGCTGGAACCCGATGGAAGGCAGCTCCAACGGCGTGGCCCAGACGGCGCTGAACTGCAACGTGGACTTCCAGAGTATGATGCGCACGATCATTGACGGATTTGATGTCCAGATGCGGGACAGGCTGCGCGACCCGCCCCTCTCGGCGGACGACGAGGCCTCGCTCCAGGCGGAGGAGGACGAGAAGTTCGAGGCAAGCTTCGCCGCGAACATGGAGAAGCTTGCGGCCGCCCGCAAGAGGGCCAACAAACCAGAGCTGGAATATGAGGAGGCGGAGATGAGGCTCCGGCAACAGCGAGCCGCTCGCAGGGCGGCGTATCTGAGGTTGGGCCCGGCCGAGCGCTTCAGGCGCAGTATCAAAGCAATGACCGTCACCATTATGAAGCAGTCCGTTCAGGCCATGTTCTACGCTTGCGACTACTCCACGAAGCCGAACATGACCTGCGCGCCGCTCCTGGTCGCGGTTCGCGACGGCATTCGGCGCCTGGAGGAGCGGCTCCGCACCGAGGAAGAGGCGGCGGCAGCGGCGGAGGCGGAGGGGGCAGCGCCGGTGCCGAAGCCGTCGGCGAGGGGGCCCGCGCTGAGCAAGGTCGGAGGGCGTTGGGAATTTTGCAGAAAATCGAGGGGGCGGGGAGCTCGAGCTTAAGACCCGAATCGGTTCGCGCTGATATCGGAAGCCTGACTCTCACCAGCTGCGCAGGTTTCAAGGCGCTGCCCGCCCGCCCCCCGTGCGGACGTGAAGATTAAATGTCGAGAACGCACGTTTTGATTTCGCGCGGTTCTCTGCGCCTCGAGACGGCGCGGGGCCGGGCTCCCTATTGTAATCTGCGGGCCCAGGGAGTTCGAGCTGAAGATCCAAATCAGTTCGCGACGCTGTCGGCCGTCATGGGCAACCTCTCCACGAACTGATTTGGATCTTAAGCTCGAGCTGCCCGGGCGCGCAAGTTCCTGACGGGAACCCGGCTCTCCTTGGATGCGTGGATATTTGTTGCTCTGCGCCTCGGCATTTCAACGTTCACGTCCAGATCAGCTCGCGCAGATTTCGAACGCCAGGGGCGACGCCTCAACGAACTGATTTGGATCTTAAGCTCGACCTGCCTCAGGTCCAGGACGAGGCTCGGCGGCGCTTGATCCGACAGGCCACCGCTGCCAACCAGGCCATCGTGAAGGGGAACTGCCTCATGGTCATGCAGATGCTCACCCGACGCGAGGTGCTGCGCTCCCACTCCACCTGGCAGTTGATGATGAAGAACGCCATGTGGCTGGCCTTCGAGAGCCGACGAATTCGGCAGGGGTTCGACGAGCGCGAGCAGCTGCACGAGGCCACGGTGCTCCTCGACGCCGCGGAAGTGGACAGCCAGGCCACTGACTCGGACGATTGTGACAGCGAGCCCGAGGAGCGCGAAGAGAGCGCCGACGGCGACGCCGCCGACGAGGCTTCAGACATCCCAAAGGCACCGCGCAATCATGCGTCGCCGCTGGGCACACGCGGCGAGAGACCGGCTGGGCCGCGGAGGCGCCCCGCAGCGATTGCACCCGCAGGGTCAGCTGCGCGCCCGGCGCCGCCGCCGGCCAGCGTCGCCGCCGAGCTCGGTTCTGCTGCCTCCACGCAGGTCGCGGCCGCGGGCGGCGCGCCCACAGACGATCTCTTCGCGGCGCGCGGGGAGCGCGGCCCTTTCTTGGCCGAGGAGGCCACGGACGAGCCGCAGCAGAGAAACGCGGGGGTCCGCCTGAAGAGCAACAGCTACTACGACGACTACTTGCACCGCGGCTCCGCCGAGTTCGGCGCGTCGGGTCGAGCGGCGAAGACTCCCCTGGCCTCCATGTCGTATTACGACTACGGCATGTGGGTGCGCGTCGTGCCCGGGGACCCGAACGCCCTGGCGCCAGACGAGTACGCTTTCGCCGGCCACTACGGGAAGCATGCCGACTACGTCCAGCAGCTGCGGGCCGCGCCGGCCGCGCCGTACATCTCCGGCTTCACGATGCCGACCGAAGAGAAGGACCCGGAGACGAACGCCTGTTTCAAGCAGGTGTTGTTGAGGCCGCATGCGTGCCCGGGGCCGGACAGCTGTCGCCAGGTGCACTTCGCCCAGCACTTCTGCTGCGCGTCCCGCAGCAGGGAGGGGGGGCGAGCCAGGGGTCGCGCCCCTCTCTCCTTCCTGGGACCTTGGCGCGCGTATCGCGCCGAGCAGCTCGTCCTGGCGAAGCGGGCCGACCAGGCCCTGCAGCGCTCGCGGCAATGCCCCGTGCTGCACGACACAACCGCCATCCGTTACTGGCATCTCCCCGGCACCGTGCGCGGGGGCCCGGTCCACGAGAGTTTCCTGCCGTTGCTCTGCGGCGGCCGCCATGCGACGGATCCTGGTTTGGACGGCACGTGGTGCCGCCGCCGCGAGATCCCGACCCCCGTCGCAGGCGCCGATCTGCAGCGGCCGTCGCGCGGAGCGGTGTGCTGGCGCATGGCCCTCCCGGTGGACCTCGCCTGGGCCGTGCTGCGCTTCGCGGGCGACGTCCGCGGCGACGACGGGCGGCGCCTGGGGGTCGCCGGCTCGGAGGAGGAGCGCGCTCGGCTCGACGAGCGGGCGGCCCTCGAGGGCGAGTCGATCGCCTGCGCCTGTCCTGGAGTTCACGACGACCAGCTGACCCCCGAGATGTTCTTCGCTGTTCGGCACGTGGAGGTGGCCGCCCGCCTGGAGTACATGGCCGAGGCCCGCGGGCTGCCGAAGCCGGCAAGGGGGCCCAGCGACGCGGTGGCGGAGGAGGAGCTCGGCGGAGATCGCTCCGACGATGACGGGGCCTTCGGCCTGGACGAGGCTCTGCCAGGTGAAGATTCCTCCGCGGAGGAGCGCCAGGAAGTGGCAGACGCGCGAGAGGACATGGAGGGCATGAGACCTCGCTGGAGGCTGGCAGAGGACGAGTTCGACGACGTCGTGCACCGGACGGCGGCGGCCCAGGCGGCTAAGAGCAGTCGCGTGGGAGCGCACAAGAAAGCCTTGATGGAAACGTTCTTGCAGTTGCAACGCCGCGCTTACGCCTGCGTTCGGCAGCCCTGCGCCGTGCCCGAGCGCGCCCCTCGGCTGGCGGCGATGACTCCTGCTGACGTGCAGACCGCCAAGAAGAACCAGGACGCGATCCGCGAACAGAGGGCCGCCCAGGACGACAATCTGGAGGCCGCGGGCGCCGATCTGCCCGTCGCCGCGGCGGCCTTCTCCGACGCGCCCGCGCCGTCGAGGCGCCTCGGCCCGGAGGATGTGCCGATCTCCCCGCTGCAGGCGGCGCTGACCCTCATCGCCGAGTCTGGGGTCTGGAAGAGCAAGGAGCAGTACCTGGTGACGCTCTTCCTCCTTCAACCGATACAACAACTGTGGCAGAAGGCCCTTGAGACGGACGGCTTGGACAGCTTGTCCACGGCCGCGGGCCTCGCAGCGGCCTCGAGAGACGTGCAGGTCCGCCGCGTCTTCCTGCACGGCCCGGGGGGCTCGGGGAAGACGTATTGCATGACCGAGGTGGTCAACAAGGTGGTCGTGCGTTTCTTCGGGCACAGGGGGCTGAAGCTCGTGGCCGCGGCCAACAGCGCCGCCCGCATCCTCGGCGGCAAGACCATGCACGCGGCGGCGAAGCTGACGCGGAAGCAGTCTCTCGCGGCGAGTAAATTGAAACCCAACACCAGGGCGAAGAAGAAGTTGGAGGCCGAGTGGGAGTACCTTGTGCTCCTCCTCGCCGACGAGATCGGCCTGGCGTCCCCCCCGCTCCTTGCGGGCCTGAGTCGCCGCGCGACTTTCGGCCGCAAGGACTTGCTGCGGCTGTGCGTGGCGAGGGCCATCGAAGAGCCCTTCGGCCAGGTCCCCGTGCAGGCCATCATGGGCGACTTCATGCAGATCAACCCGGTCTGCAGCCACACGCTGCTGGAAGCCCTGCTGGCCCGCGCGCGCGTCCCCGGCGTGCCGCGGAAGATCACGGACGAGGACGAAGACGGCTGGAAGGTCTTCAGGAAGATGGCCTCCGACGTGGTCGTCTTCACTGGCACGCACCGCTTTCTCGACGAGGACCTACCGCTGCTCTTCGAGGTCATGCGCACTCCGGGCGGGGCGAGAGTGCCTGACGACTTGCGCGCGAAGATCAGAGATCGCGTCCAGCGGGGCCCCGACGACCCGAGGATGTCCATGGACTACGAACTGGAGGGCGTTCGGGGCTTCTTCGCCCTCGGCGCTCGCGCGGCGATCCAGTGGGAGCAGGTCGCGCGCCTGCAGCAGCTCCACGTGCTCGCCTCCGCGAGGGTCTGCCCTGGCCCCAGGGCCTTGCTCAACGGGGAGGACGGCCGGCCGGATCTTCGTCGCCACGGCTTCAGCGCGGCGCATTCGGGGGCGCGCGGGCAGCTCGTCTATTATTTCCAGGCCGTGGACCGCTTCAAGCACCACCAGGACCGAGACATGTACCTCGAGGCGCTGAAGTTCATGAACCTCTCCAAGAGCAACGGCCTGCCGGGCATGTGCGCGGCCTACTTGGGCATGCGAGGGCGGCTCACGAAGAAGGTCATGGGGCCGGAGCTGGTGCAGGAGGCCACGGGCGAGGTCGTGGGCATCCGCTTTCACCCGCGGGAGCGATTCGGCTTCGGGGAGAATCTCGGCGGCGGTTCTGAACGGCCCTCGCCGAATCACCCTTGCTGGCAGCGAGGATTCGTTGTTTGCGATTATCTCCCCGTGCATCTCGAGATTCGCTGGGACGGAAGCACGGTGGGCCCCTTGGCGAGCTCTGCAAACGACCGCGCCGAACTTCAGGGGGGCCGCGACTGCGGGGGGCGAGGGAAGGGGGCTGGGCTCTCTCGCGGGACCGAGGCTCCTCTTTGGAATCCACACTTGAATCGGATCTTGAGCTCGGGCTGCTCGCGTGTTCAGGCAGCGCGACCTTGCGATCCATATCAGTTCGCGTCGGCAGTGCGACGCGACGCGGGCGTTTGCAGATCTCGACCAGGTGGACTACACTGGCCTGGGCAAGCGGGGCGTGTTCCATCTGGAGCCTGTGCAGGACGAGTGGGAGTTGCCCGTCGCGCGCGTGCAGACGGTGAATCACCCGGGCGCGCCTCGGGCCAAGCAGTTCGTCGTCAAGAGCAAGCAGAAGAAGGGGCTGCAGGTCGCGCGCACGCAGCTCAGTTGGGCGCCCGAGGACCAGCTTACTTTCCAGAGCATCCAGGGCCGCACTATCCGCGGGCCCGAGGGCCAGCCCAAAGGTTTCGTCGTCGACCTCTTTCGGCCTGGCACGATGCAGGGCGAGGATCGCCGGGGGGAGTACTTCCAGCACGTCTGGATGATCCTTGGAAGAGCCAGGAAGCTGGAGTGGATGCTGCTGCAGAACTTCCCGCTCGACGAGAGCACCGGCGATCTGGACTGGTCGATCCTCGAGCAAGGGCCGCCGGACTACCTCGTCGAGTTCTTGGGCGCGGCTGCGACGCTCAGCAGGAGGACTTCGCGCAGGATGCTGCGCGCGCAGAAGGAGCTGGGGGCGCCGGCCTGGGAGGACGTGCCGGAGTGCCCGCTGGACCCCGACCAACAGGGCAGATTCTTGTATATCGCCGAGGACTGGATCAGGGCGGGCGCCGCCTGCGCCCGGCCCGTCGCAAGCGCCTCGGCCGAGGCGAGGCCCGACGCGGCCCCGCGGAGGAGACTCTGGGGCAAGAGGCCGCGCGAGGAACTGCGCTCGAAGACGGCCCGGCCGACCGCGCCGCCCGACGAGCCCGGGGGCGCTCCGCTACGGCGGAAGCGGTCGCGCGGCGAGGGCGCCGGGGACGAGGGCGAGCGGGCCTGCGCGCCTCCTGGCGCGGCGCCAGCCTCTTCGACGCAGTCGACCCTGCCGTCGGCGCCCTCGGCCAGCGCCGGCGGCTGGCACTGTTCCTTGCTCGGCCGCGCCATCGGCCGACGAAGGAGCGCGCCCGCGTGGTTCAACAATCCTCTCATGGGCGAGGTCGACCCCGCGTCCGGCACCCAGCTGGGCCTCACGTGCGGTTTCTTCGCGGTGAACCATTGCCTGGGCCACGCGGGCATGCCGCAGCTGTCGGCCGAGGAGTTCCGGCAGGGCGCGGGAGACGGACTCTACCCCGAGGGGGATTTCGACGACGGGGGGTTGCGTCAGAACCTCGCAGAGCGCGGGTGCCATTTCGATTTGTTGCAGGGCGCGGACCACCAGGACGCCATCCTCGCCGTGGGGGACTCCGACAGCTGTCTGGCTGTCTTCAACGGCAACCACGCCTTGGGTGTCATCCTGCACCAGCCATGCCCTCGACATTGGATCGCGCTCGTTCGACCTCCAGAGGCCGTTCGAGACGGCGACGCCGCCTGGCTTTGCGACTCCTTGCACTCGGCGGTCTTCGCCCTTGAAGCCAGCGAGGTGCAGGACCTCCTCGGCCACGTTGGCTCGGCGCAGATGGGCGCCGCGGACAGGGCCGGGAGCGAGCTCGACCGGATGAGGGAGATCTCCGACTGGTGTGCCTACAGAGTCCACCGCTGACCGCGGCATTGCGCCCCCGGGGTCGGCCGGTTTTCTCGTTCCGCCTCGTTTTTTCCGCTGGGCATTGCACCCTCAGGGTCAGCCCTTGTCTTCCTTCTACCGCGCCAGGCGTTGCGCTTTTAGGGTCGGCTCTGTGCTGCGCGGCATTGCACCGCCAGGGTCAGGCCTCGTCTGTCCCTGCTCTGCTTGGCGGGAGCTGGAGTGCACTGGGAGCCGGATGCGCCCCGGGCCGCGCTTCTCGCTCCCATCCTGCTCGGCATTGCACCCCCAGGGTCAGCCGACTTCCCCGTTCGCATCTCCTCCTCTCCGCGCGGCGCAGGCTTGGGCATTGCACCTTCAGGGTCAGCCCTCGCCCCCGCGTCTTTCGCCCGGCTCTGCCGCTCCTGCTTTCTCCGCGCAGATCTGGGCAGCTGGCCCGACAGCGCGGCGGGAAATGCAATCTTCTCCCCTTGATCTCTCGAACCCCGTCTTCGTCGTCGCCCGCGCGAAGGATCGCAGATTATCCACCCCATTCGAGGGTTCCAGGCGGGGATAAGGAGGGTTGTCTCACGGTGCCCTCCTCCGAGAGGAAGAGGAGGAAGAGGAGTGGGAGGAGGAAGAGGAGGAGGAGGAAGAGGAGAAGAAGGAGAACGATGTGGAGGAGGAGGAGGGGGATGATGATGATGCTGATGATGATGATGATGATGATGATGATGATGATGATGATGATGATGATGATGATGATGATGATGATGATGATGATGAGAATGATGATGAGGAGGATGAGGAGGGGGAGGAGGAGGAGGCGGAGAAGAGGAGGAGGAGGAAAGAACAATGAGAACGAGGAGGAAGCCGGGGGGCCCGCAGCAGCCCAAGAAAACCTCCAAGAGGACGCCGAGTTTTCAAAAGCGGCTGGCATTAATCTCAAGGATTCCTTGCGTTTCATGCGACATAACGAGATGCGCGAAAACTCTTAAAAAGTAGCTTTTTCCTGATAATCCACTTTTTCGTGTCAGAGGCTTCTGCTCTGGATATGCATTTCCCTATGTATTTTGCACGATTGTGGTTGTACGCATTGAAAACTGGAGCGGCCGGTTGTTTGGTTGGCTCCAGCATCGGGGATAGACATACACGGCGCGCGGGCGCGACACTAACGCGCACGTCCACGAAAGGGGCCGCGACGGAAGATGCTCCAGAAGACGCATGGTGCTTTTTGGTCTGACACATGGCGCGGGGAGGGAAAAAAGAGAAGAAAGCGGGAGGGATGTTTCAGGGGCGCGGGGGGATCAGAGTCCGGGGAAGGGTGTCTCGTGGGATGTTTCGTGAGGTGTCTCGTGGGATGTTTCGTGAGGTGTTGCCCCGTTGGGTATTGTGAAAACGTGCCCATGCTCCACATGTCTATATCCCTTTCCGGGACGCCAACAGAGGAACGGGCAGTTAAATATCGCCGGCCAGCCCTGGCAATTGACGGCGAACGGGCAGGAACTCTCCCGTGAGAAACGGTCCTCTCCCTCCCGAGCGGATCGAGCCCAGGGCGCGTGGGGCAAATGATGGAGCCATTGCTGGAGCTATGGTACCTGCGGATCCGCTTCATCCTCGATGAGATGGATCCATCAGAAGGCATCACGTCCGAGGTGCGCGAAGAGGCCGAGGAGCAGGATGGAGGAGGGGGCGGCGAGGAGGAGGAGGAGGAGGAGGCGGAGGAGGCGCAGGCCAAACAGAGGAAGGACGCGGCGGGGCGTCAGGCGATGGTGAATGAGGATGCGGCGAGCGGGGCCCAGGAGGATGAGGAGACGGCGAGGAGGCGCCTCAAGCGCGCGGAAGAGTGGAGGAGAAGGAGGGAGGAGGAGAAGGAAGGCGCCAGGAGAAAGAAGGAGGAGGAGGAGGCGAGGGCCCTGAGGGGCAGAGATGAGCTCATGGAGGCGGCGCTGGCGCAGCAGGAGGGCGACGAGGTGACCAGGATGAGGCGTGCGCTGGAGGCCCTCAGGAGGCAAGCGGACGACATGGAGAGGAGGGCGACGATCAAGGAGACTCTGGCAAAGGAGGTGAGGAGGCAGAGGGAGGCGCAGGCGAAGGAGGAGGAGGAGGCGAAGGAGGATGTCAAGAGGAGGCTGAGAGAGAGGCTGCACGAGAAGATCCAGAAGGCCCGCCGATAGAGAGTAGGACATGATAGGCGGCCCGCGGCGCCCGTGCGATAGGCCTGGCACGACGGGGAATTCCTTTTCTCAGGCCGTTCCAGTTTCCTCAGCCGCTGCCCCACGAGAGTATGAGTTTTCAAAAGACGCATGGTGCTTTTTGGCCTGACACATGGCGCGGGGAGGGAAAAAAGAGAAGAAAGCGGGAGGGATGTTTCAGGGGCGCGGGGGACTTCCCGGGGTGAGCTTTTCTAACTGCTCCTCTCCCCTTCCTCCCCGGGCAGTGCACCCTCAGGGTCAGCCCTCGTCTCGCTTTCTCCTTGCTCGGCATTGCACCCTCAGGGTCAGCCGGTTTCCCTGTTCGCCTTGCCTCCTCTTCCGTTTTCGCTGCGCAGATCAGGTCAGTTGGCTCGACAGCGCGGCGCAGGCTTGGGCATTGCACCCTCAGGGTCAGCCCTCGCCCCCGCGTCTTTCGCCCGGCTCTGCCGCTCCTGCTTTCGCCGCGCAGATCTGGGAGGCTGGCCCGACAGCGCTAGATAGTCCCGCCGATAGAGAGTAGGACATGATAGGCGGCCCGCGGCGCCCGTGCGATAGAAACAAGCTAGGAGGAGGGAGGGGACAGTTGGCTAGGTAGTCAGAAAAATAGGTGTCTCGTGGAATGTTTCGCGGGGTGTCTCCTGGAATGTTTCGTGAGGTGTCTCGTGGGATGTTTCGTGAGGTGTCTCGTGCCCTGGGGCTCGTGGCGCCGACTTCGAGCTCCCGACCCCATCTTGGAGCGTCTATCCGCTCGCCCTTCGACCCCATCCTGCACGAGCGCCCCTGAAACATCCCTCCCTGCCCCCCTTCCCCGCTGGGCCGCTTTGACATTCGATGGTTTGGGCGCGTGCCCACCTTCGACCGGGAAGGACCGAACGGAGATTCCGACGTCCTCGGCCGCCCATCCCAGCCAGAGCTTTCCAGCACGACGCAGGAAGGAGGGATGTTTCAGGGGCGATCGAAAAAGACCGTCGAAAGGAAGAGGCGGGGTTCATGTAGCCGTTCTTGCTCAAGCACTTTGCCCAGGGTCGGTTAGGCCATGCCTCACGCCCAGTGCGAGAAGTGCACTAAAAAGTTCTGGGGTTCGAGCGCGCGGAGTGCGCAAGTCGCACTCAATCGCCATGTCCGCGAGGTGCACAAGCAGGGTGGCAAAGCTAAGGCTCCAAGACGAAAGGACGCCATAAACGTGAAGTCTCGGAGGTCCGCGCGGATTTCTTGGGTCGGCGTTGGGCAACCCTTCCTCCCCCCCGCGCCAGGGAGCCAGGGAGGCGGGGGGGCCAGCGCCGATCCAAGAAACCCGCGCAGACCTCCGACAGTTTATGTGTATGGCGTCTTTTCGGTTTTTTTCCAGGCGGACGAACGCCGTCGGGCGCACCAGCGCCGCCGCGCCGCTAAGCGCGCCAGTGAGCAGAGCCAGGCCGCCAGCGTCGTCCAGGCGCTGATGGGCTCCATATTGTGCTTCATCTTGTGCCCCAAGCGCCGCGAGGATAGTGAGTCGATGTTCTCGGACACGCGGGCGCATCTTTCGGACTCGCTTGGATTGGACCCATCGAGGATTCACCGCGTCCAAGGCATCGATCTGTTGCACCCGCCCAGCAAATGCCGGGGCCAGCGTCTCGAGCACGTGAAGGCTCACCAGTGCTGCATGGCGGCATTCCACCGCATGGTGCTCCCGAGGGCCGTGGAGGCCTTCCACGCCGATGTTGGCTTGAGGTTCGTCTTGTTTCTGGAGGACGACGCGCGGCTGGTCAAGGGCCTCGGAGCAGCTGACGTGCATGAGGCCCTCGGGAGCGCGTCCCGGGCGACCGCCGTGTGGTGCGGCTACCACAGCCTCAATCGGTGGCCCGTCTTCGGGGCCCACGCCTTGGCCATCTCCCGCTCTTCTTGCCAGAGGCTCATCGACCGCACAGAATGGGAGTACCAGAACGAGGGGTACTACGGCCTCGACACGTACCTGAGCTACTTGTGGTGGCAGGGCCTTGTGCACGCCCCTGCAAAGAAGATATTTGTCCAGCGCCGTCATAAGTTGGAATTTCGGCAGTGACTGGTGCTATCTGGCAACACATATGGTGCTATATGGTGATTTTTCGGCAGCCTTCAACGCTGCCAAACCTTCGTCTTTTTCAGGCAGCGGTCAAAGACGCATGGTGCTTTTTGGCCTGACACATGGCGCGGGGATGGAAAAAAGAGAAGAAAGCGGAAGGGATGTTTCAGGGGCGCGGGGGGATCAGAGTCCGGGGGAGGTTCCGACGACGTGGCCGCGGGGCCCAAGCACGACCCCACTCCAGCACGACCACACCCCAGCACGACCACACCCCAGCAGGACCCCACCCCAGCACGACCCCACCCCAGCACGGCCCCACCCCAGCAAGACCACACCCCAGCACGACCACACTCCAGCACGACCTCACCACAGCACGACCACTCCCCAGCACGATCACGCCCCAGCACGACCACGCCCCAGCACGACCACTCCCCAGCACGCACGACCCCAGCACGCAGCACGCCCCAGCACGACCCCCCAGCACGACCACACCCCAGCACGACCACCCCCAGCACGACCACCCCCAGCACGACCACACCCCAGCACGACCACACCCCAGCACGACCACACCCCAGCACGACCCCACCCAGCACGACCCCACCCCAGCACGACCCCACCCTAGCAAGACCACACCCCAGCACGACCACACCCCAGCACGACCTCACCACAGCACGACCACACCCCAGCACGACCACGCCCCAGCACGACCACGCCCCAGCACGACCACGCCCCAGCACAACCACCCCCAGCACGACCACCCCCCCAGCACGACCACCCCCAGCACGACCACCCCCCAGCACGACCAC